TGACGGCTTCTTTCCGTTCCGTTCGCAACCACCTCATCATATTCCCCTCCTGGTGAACGAAACAGGTCGTACTGTGTATTGGCAGTCTTGCATTCCTACAAAACATCAAATCAAATGGTGACTTCTTTGTTGGTTCCTGGTTGGATAGAAGCACGACGTGCTAGTAAAATCAATGGAAGGAAGATCCGACTCCCAGTTACCACTCTTCGAGGTCAACCACTCCTTCAGTGTACGGTTATTTCTCTCTGTCAAACCATTCGTTTCTGAATGATGATATGGTCTTGTTCTGGTCATCTTGATAGTCAGTTGTTACAAACGGGATGTATATGCGCTTGGCTTTCAAAACAAGGACACTGATCTACCTGCCAGTCAGTATCGTCTTTGGTACACCGTGGTCTGCAACGATGTGTCCAACTACTGCATCAGTCACAGTTCTCGCGCGTTCACCTCGGATCACGATGGCGTTTACCCATCGTGTAGCGTGTTCCTCCATCACCAGGAGGTACTGATTGCCACTGGATGTCTGCGGAAACGGACCCACTACGTCTACACACGAGAAGTCGCCTACTGCCGTGAATGGAATCGACTACAGAGGCGGTCGTGTGCACCGATCTTCCTTCATCAACTGGCACTGCGGACATTCAAGTACATATTTCCCCACATCTTCTATCACATCTGGCCAGTACATGCTTTGTCTCAAGAGGTCAGTTGTTCTGGCTACTTCTATATCTGCTGGCTGGTGACATTCTTGTATCACCTCATGGCGTGGAGACTGAGGTATTATCGCCAACCAGCTTCCATCGTTCTCTCGCTAAGTTACAGTTCTGTGAATGTTCACTCTTAATCGATCCCTCTGTCTCAGTAGTATAGCCGGATCCTTACTCGCCGTAGAAGTTGATTCACTTCTATTCCGTTAGTGATCTCCTGTATTACTGTATTCAGGGTAGTGTCCGACTTGTGACTGATAGCATGTCTGAATGCATCTTGTTACAATACATCCACTCCATAAGCAATCTCCGGTAACTCAGCTTCGTCATCTCGTCTAGATAAGAAATCGGCCAAACAAGTTCCGTTGCTGGGGACGTGTGAGATGATGAAGTCATAATTTCGCAGGCTCAACATCCACCTGGACAAGTCCCCACGTGGGCCTTCCGCCATCCTCAGAAAATCTAGCGACTTGTGATCACTTTAGATGTGCAACTGTTGGCCGAGTCAATACGGTCTCCATTTCACCATGGATAAAATTTCATTTTGATAAAGTCACACAGTGTTATACAGTAATATATACTGATGACGTTTCGAGCACAATTTATTCCTCATAATCATATCAGTGCCCGAGTTTCATCCTTATAACGGTCTGCATTTGTCTACCGCCCATACATACTATTGCTAAACATTCTTTCTCTATCGTTGAATACTTCTGCTCTGTGTGTTAAAATACCACTGACATATTCGACAACTGCTTCACCCTGTCCAAGTACTACGCCTTTCCCATAGTCACTCGCATCTGTGTACACTGTGAACTGTTTTCCCGATACAGGCAGTCTTAGCGTCATTTTCCTGTCGTTTAACTGACGTTTAATACTGTCAAATGTCTTCTGCGAATCTTCCGACCACACAAACTTCAACTCATCATCTAATAGTCTGTACACCGGGTCTGCTATCTTGTTGAAGTTTGCACAAATAGACTATAAAATGCAGCTCTCCCGACGAACTGTCCTAGCATTCTCTTGGAATCCGGGCCCGTAATGGTCTTTATCGACAAGATTTTCTCCGCTAGCGGTTTTATCTCACCGTTCCCCACTCCTCTATCACCCAACACGGTAACACTCCGTTTGGCTATCTGAGATTTTGTCCTGTCGGTGAGCAGTCCAAACTCTTCAATGACTTTTAACACGGCTTCAACATGGCTCACATGATCGCTTTCGTTTTGACTGCAGATGAACAGGTCATCACCGTACACCTCCACATTCTTCAACTTTCTGATCAACAACCTAACGACTCCTCTGAAGGCAAACAGTACACCTGCTAGTCGTCCAAATAGCATGTGTTTAAACCGATATTCTTTCTGACCCATGCGATGAACGCCGTCTTATCTCTGTCGCTCTGCTTTATCCGTATCTGACAATATCGTGACCGGAGGTCAAGCACTGTAAAAATTCGCGCCTTGTATACAATACACGCTATCTACTACAGCTGGCATGCCACACACGGTCTCAGCTCTGTCATGCTGTTTAGCTGTCAGAAATCCATGCAGGATCTCTAATTCCCATCTCCTTTGTTCACTAAAACAACTGGATAGTTATACGGGCTGTCAGCTTCTTTTTCTCTAATACCATCCTGCAAAATCTCCTCAATTTAAATGTCTCTCTACCTCACACCCATAAATATCACCTCCACGATTTCACGAGTAGTTGAATCGATTGAAAACAATCAAATCAGTCAGTATTTACTCCCTAATGACACATTTAAGCTTAAGCATTTCAAACAAAGAGTACTGGGTATCAGTCACAATGACAACACCACACACAATCACTCACAGGAGATTATTGCAGGTACATCCCGTTGGCAACTCCCGTACCAAAAACATTCAAGTGCCATCCATCAAATTACACACTTTTAAGTCCGGATAATCTTCACCTCTACATACACTCACTACCCAGTAATTAACCTCATCCATCCATCCTCTCTAGGATTATAATATTATCCTACCTGCGAATGAATCTTCAGAATACATTCATTCGATAAAACAAACATATTATCTATCTTCAATCTGATTTCACCCACCCTACTCATCACCGGTTGGTTGCGTAAAACTTCGTGATATGTACAGCGGCGGAAAAAGGGAAACAAACAAGAACTTACAATTTCACCAGTGGGGGGGAGTTGCCTTCGTGCCTCTTCATGAATATCATTGCCTCTGACCTGAAAAAAGGAAAGAGACGAAGAAGATGCAAACGTCAGTACACAGGGATCATCATTACAACTTCAGGCAGCTTCGATAGTCTCCACGAGTAAGCATTTGCCAAGTGACACTGAACAACCAATCATGGTAAAGCTAGTATATATTCTATGCCAAACTTTCTCTTCACATACTTCAAAACATTATAAATCTCTAAATTCCGTACAACTGCAAAACTGTTAAACCTATTTCTATAAAATACAAAATAAATGAGCCAGAAAAGAATATCCTTTTCGATAACTTCCTCCTCTTCTCGCTCTACAGTTATATATATATGCATGTTTATTTATATACATAGAATATTCTAGATTAGTAGTCAGTAACAATATTAGTGTTTTTTAAATAATGTCGATTTGCAAAGTAAGATCACAATGGAATCACCACAGTTCATTAAAGATGCTTTAATAATAATAATAATAATAAAGAATAGAATATAAACTAAAATTAGGAAAATTCCACTGGCTCCACAGGCCAGTTACATAGGCTGTACAATTAGGCGTGTTTCTCGTCGAATTTACGAACATCACCCTGCATAGTGAGTGGTTAAGCAAAGGACAAACAAAATCTATTCGCAGCGCTATTCTATCTCATCTTGTGGATACAGAACACAAGACTGATTGATGTTAACCATGCTTTCAGGGTAATTTACCGCATACCTACGAACCTCAATTTCGCCTTAAGAGTTCGACTGCTAAATATTCCCGAGGCTGGCCAATGGATCCAGAATAACAAGCCTAATTTGTGCATCCAAAAGAAGTTGGTTGGTTCAGACATTATCCTTACCGCTTGGCTATCCAGGTTTGAATGATCCTGAATTTTAGTTGATATTCTATTTGCTACTACATCTTTGTTATAATAATAATAATAGTAATAATAATAATAATTATTATTATTATTTAAGCATCTTTAATGAACTGTGGTGATTCCATTGTGATCTTACTTTACAAATCGACATTATTTAAAAAGCACTCTTATACTGTTACTGACTACTAATTTAGAATATTCTGTGTATATAAACATGCAGATATATTTGTAGAGCCGGAAGAGGAATTTATCGAAACGAATATTCTTTGCTCGATTATTTCGTGTTTCATAGATGTCTGAATGAATATTTTTGCTATATTGAAATCTATTTCTAGTTAACCGCAGCACTATACAAAGCAGTGTTTTACCGCTATTTCCAATATGCTTGTGACCATCTCAAGTTCTCAGCGTTGTGAAAAAAGGTTCGACGGTTTCAGATAGTTTCAATGGCCTCATTATACAGGCTATTTAGGTCTTTCTAGATAGTTGAACAAACCTTTCTTAATTATAATAACCCTGAGCAGGCTCACACCTTCACACTATAAGGACGTTCTGAAGATCTTGAGCTATTCAACTACCACCACTAGTTGAAGCTCAGAAATAATATCTGCTCAAGAATAATGCATTCTGATTCACAAATGGAGGACATTATGATGCCGTCACTTACAGTGGTTATCTGAATGGATGTGTTCCAATCCTTCACAGACATACATACATGACGTCACGATCTCTAAGATTCAAACATGTTCATTCGAGTACCTAAGTATCTGCATGTCTCCACATCCCCAGTACAGTATTCTTCTTTTGGTGAGTCGTTAGAAGTACTCTGCATCAGCGTGGAGCTTCCTTTTGTGAGGATGAAACAATCGTTAGCTTCTTAACACATACAAACTCTTTTTACGAGTTGATCACGGATTGACATCAGCTAGAGAACGATTGAAAACCAGAGAGTAGTGGACAGCTGTGTCATCAAACTAGGATGAGACTTTCGAGTCTGGATAATCTTCACCTCTACATACACTCACTACCCAGTAATTAACCTCATCCATCCATCCTCTCTAGGATTATAATATTATCCTACCTGCGAATGAATCTTCAGAATACATTCATTCGATAAAACAAACATATTATCTATCTTCAATCTGATTTCACCCACCCTACTCATCACCGGTTGGTTGCGTAAAACTTCGTGATATGTACAGCGGCGGAAAAAGGGAAACAAACCAGAACTTACAATTTCATCACCTTCCAGTCTTCCTGCCAGATCATTATTGTCATTGACTCTGATACAGTCTGACTTGACGCGTTTTCTGGGATTCCCCGGTATAATCCAGTCTGCGCCGAAATCTTTCGGCTTTCGTCTCCGCTTCCTGTTCTCTTCACTATTTGACAGGCCCACCTATACGGAGAAAAAGCAATCACAATCAAAGAAAGCACAAACACATACATCACACAACTGAATTCGCATGGAAATAACGAAAAGGATTAGAATATCATCTAAGTAGAGTAGTGCAGTTGCGCACAAGATGAAAACTTATACGAAAGAGCTGATTGCCAGTCAATGAGTTTCAACACAAAACTTTGCACAGAAGTGGAGCGGTTCAAGTTGACAAACTCCACGTAGTATACAAAGATAGACAACCTAACCTAGACAGAGAAAAGACTCTCAAAAGCAGAAATGTACGGGAGAAAGACAAGGGAGGAACATGGAGTAACTAGGGGTTTAATCTGCGCGTCGGGACATCAAATCACTAAGAGTGCCTGCGCATCTGTGCCACTCACCACGATTTCCAGTCAAATCACCAATAGTCTCCAAACACCCTAACCAGCCAGCCAGCCAGCCTACGCTCACAACTACACCTACACCTACCCCCTATGTGGCTCAAAACAACTCTCAAGGACTTCAGTGCTTGATTCCACGTTTTCACCTGGTCTGATTTACTCCTTTCCAACTCCAACTCTACTTCAGTCAGCTAACATTCCTCGGATGAACTTAAGGATCACTTCGACGGGAAACTGTCCAATGTGCTGCAGAAAGCAAAACGACGTTCAGATATAGTTGTTTTAGCAGGCAACTTCAATGCCCACCCAAGTAGGGAAGTTATGCCAGACTGAGAAGTATATAGGTGGTACATACGGAGTTCACTACCGACGAACCAACAACGGCGGTGATTGTCTTCTACAGTTCTCCTCAGATAGTCATCTGTTTGTTCCCAGTCACCAACAACTCTAGGCACAAACAGAGACACATTGTCTAACCTGGTGACCTCCATCACCAAATCAACATTGGACTCAAATAGACCACATAGCGATAAGGTATCGTTGGAGAGGGTCGGTAGAAGACTGCCACTCCCTCTGGAACATGTGCGCAGACTCTGATCACGCCCTGCCATGGTTCGCGCACGTTTATGCGGTTAAACGGACATAAAAAATTGTTGGCAGAGAAACAGTTACGTCTTCAACTAGATCGAGACACTGAGTCCCTATTTAAGTAATACGGATAGCGAAAAGAGTACCCGAGGTCGACAGCAGGACTCCTCCTGACGAAGCCTGGAACAACATACAGTTAGTTAGCTGTACACACAGATGTCAAAGCTGACAATAACCTAAAACCCAAGGTCAGTAAGACCCATTGGATTTCTACCACCTCATCCGAACTGACTTACTGACTGACTGACACAGAAACATTCATTCCGACGAGCTCCAAATATGATGAGGAGCAAAAGCTGCTGCTCAAGCACAAACTAACAAGAAGTTTTCGCAACGACCGTGAACAGTCGTGCTCAACAAAAGCGACGGAAGGAGATGGAAAAGGCTTCGGCGATTTGTAGCGCAAGACAACAATTTAGACTTATCAGAGAAGCAGGTGGCTAAAGGCAAATCATAAGTGGAACAATCTATGACGAAAATGGCACCATAATTAGCTCCCAAGATAGACGACTCGGATGGTGGAAAGAACACTTTAAGCAGGAATTTAGAGAACAATTGTGGTTTCAATAAATTCTTCAGGCTCTACAATTATAAATCCATTAACTTAAGCATACAATAGCCAGCCAGTAAAGACAAGTTAGAATCATATCCGCTTATTTCACCTCTCGTTTGTATCAGCGGGACCACGGCTCTCAGTGACAGTATATGGCCCTTTCCACTTCGGAAGGAGTTTCCATGAACATGGTCTGCATCCAACTGTATACTTTCTTCCTCTACACACTTTACTTCATCGCCGACCTTAAGGCTTATGCATCCCATCTTTTCTCCCAGCTCAGATTTCGCGGCGTCTATCTTCTCTTTACGCTTTACATTCCTGACGGCTTCTTTCCGTTCCGTTCGCAACCACCTCATCATATTCCCCTCCTGGTGAACGAAACAGGTAGTACTGTGTATTGGCAGTCTTGCATTCCTACAAAACATCAAATCAAATGGTGACTTCTTTGTTGGTTCCTGGTTGGATAGAAGCACGACGTGCTAGTAAAATCAATGGAAGGAAGATCCGACTCCCAGTTACCACTCTTCGAGGTCAACCACTCCTTCAGTGTACGGTTATTTCTCTCTGTCAAACCATTCGTTTCTGAATGATGATATGGTCTTGTTCTGGTCATCTTGATAGTCAGTTGTTACAAACGGGATGTATATGCGCTTGGCTTTCAAAACAAGGACACTGATCTACCTGCCAGTCAGTATCGTCTTTGGTACACCGTGGTCTGCAACGATGTGTCCAACTACTGCATCAGTCACAGTTCTCGCGCGTTCACCTCGGATCACGATGGCGTTTACCCATCGTGTAGCGTGTTGCTCCATCACCAGGAGGTACTGATTGCCACTGGGTGTCTGCGGAAACGGACCCACTACGTCTACACACGAGAAGTCGCCTACTGCCGTGAATGGAATCGACTACAGAGGCGGTCGTGTGCACCGATCTTCCTTCATCAACTGGCACTGCGGACATTCAAGTACATATTTCCCCACATCTTCTATCACATCTGGCCAGTACATGCTTTGTCTCAAGAGGTCAGTTGTTCTGGCTACTTCTATATCTGCTGGCTGGTGACATTCTTGTATCACCTCATGGCGTGGAGACTGAGGTATTATCGCCAACCAGCTTCCATCGTTCTCTCGCCAAGTTACAGTTCTGTGAATGTTCACTCTTAATCGATCCCTCTGTCTCAGTAGTATAGCCGGATCCTTACTCGCCGTAGAAGTTGATTCACTTCTATTCCGTTAGTGATCTCCTGTATTACTGTATTCAGGGTAGTGTCCGACTTGTGACTGATAGCATGTCTGAATGCATCTTGTTACAATACATCCACTCCATAAGCAATCTCCGGTAACTCAGCTTCGTCATCTCGTCTAGATAAGAAATCGGCCAAACAAGTTCCGTTGCTGGGGACGTGTGAGATGATGAAGTCATAATTTCGCAGGCTCAACATCCACCTGGACAAGTCCCCACGTGGGCCTTCCGCCATCCTCAGAAAATCTAGCGACTTGTGATCACTTTAGATGTGCAACTGTTGGCCGAGTCAATACGGTCTCCATTTCACCATGGATAAAATTTCATTTTGATAAAGTCACACAGTGTTATACAGTAATATATACTGATGACGTTTCGAGCACAATTTATTCCTCATAATCATATCAGTGCCCGAGTTTCATCCTTATAACGGTCTGCATTTGTCTACCGCCCATACATACTATTGCTAAACATTCTTTCTCTATCGTTGAATACTTCTGCTCTGTGTGTTAAAATACCACTGACATATTCGACAACTGCTTCACCCTGTCCAAGTACTACGCCTTTCCCATAGTCACTCGCATCTGTGTACACTGTGAACTGTTTTCCCGATACAGGCAGTCTTAGCGTCATTTTCCTGTCGTTTAACTGACGTTTAATACTGTCAAATGTCTTCTGCGAATCTTCCGACCACACAAACTTCAACTCATCATCTAATAGTCTGTACACCGGGTCTGCTATCTTGTTGAAGTTTGCACAAATAGACTATAAAATGCAGCTCTCCCGACGAACTGTCCTAGCATTCTCTTGGAATCCGGGCCCGTAATGGTCTTTATCGACAAGATTTTCTCCGCTAGCGGTTTTATCTCACCGTTCCCCACTCCTCTATCACCCAACACGGTAACACTCCGTTTGGCTATCTGAGATTTTGTCCTGTCGGTGAGCAGTCCAAACTCTTCAATGACTTTTAACACGGCTTCAACATGGCTCACATGATCGCTTTCGTTTTGACTGCAGATGAACAGGTCATCACCGTACACCTCCACATTCTTCAACTTTCTGATCAACAACCTAACGACTCCTCTGAAGGCAAACAGTACACCTGCTAGTCGTCCAAATAGCATGTGTTTAAACCGATATTCTTTCTGACCCATGCGATGAACGCCGTCTTATCTCTGTCGCTCTGCTTTATCCGTATCTGACAATATCGTGACCGGAGGTCAAGCACTGTGAAAAATTCGCGCCTTGTATACAATACACGCTATCTACTACAGCTGGCATGCCACACACGGTCTCAGCTCTGTCATGCTGTTTAGCTGTCAGAAATCCATGCAGGATCTCTAATTCCCATCTCCTTTGTTCACTAAAACAACTGGATAGTTATACGGGCTGTCAGCTTCTTTTTCTCTAATACCATCCTGCAAAATCTCCTCAATTTAAATGTCTCTCTACCTCACACCCATAAATATCACCTCCACGATTTCACGAGTAGTTGAATCGATTGAAAACAATCAAATCAGTCAGTATTTACTCCCTAATGACACATTTAAGCTTAAGCATTTCAAACAAAGAGTACTGGGTACCAGTCACAATGACAACACCACACACAATCACTCACAGGAGATTATTGCAGGTACATCCCGTTGGCAACTCCCGTACCAAAAACATTCAAGTGCCATCCATCAAATTACACACTTTTAAGTCCGGATAATCTTCACCTCTACATACACTCACTACCCAGTAATTAACCTCATCCATCCATCCTCTCTAGGATTATAATATTATCCTACCTGCGAATGAATCTTCAGAATACATTCATTCGATAAAACAAACATATTATCTATCTTCAATCTGATTTCACCCACCCTACTCATCACCGGTTGGTTGCGTAAAACTTCGTGATATGTACAGCGGCGGAAAAAGGGAAACAAACAAGAACTTACAATTTCACCAGTGGGGGGGAGTTGCCTTCGTGTCTCTTCATTAATATCATTGCCTCTGACCTGAAAAAAGGAAAGAGACGAAGAAGATGCAAACGTCAGTACACAGGGATCATCATTACAACTTCAGGCAGCTTCGATAGTCTCCACGAGTAAGCATTTGCCAAGTGACACTGAACAACCAATCATGGTAAAGCTAGTATATATTCTATGCCAAACTTTCTCTTCACATACTTCAAAACATTATAAATCTCTAAATTCCGTACAACTGCAAAACTGTTAAACCTATTTCTATAAAATACAAAATAAATGAGCCAGAAAAGAATATCCTTTTCGATAACTTCCTCCTCTTCTCGCTCTACAGTTATATATATATGCATGTTTATTTATATACATAGAATATTCTAGATTAGTAGTCAGTAACAATATCAGTGTTTTTTAAATAATGTCGATTTGCAAAGTAAGATCACAATGGAATCACCACAGTTCATTAAAGATGCTTTAATAATAATAATAATAATAAAGAATAGAATATAAACTAAAATTAGGAAAATTCCACTGGCTCCACAGGCCAGTTACATAGGCTGTACAATTAGGCGTGTTTCTCGTCGAATTTACGAACATCACCCTGCATAGTGAGTGGTTAAGCAAAGGACAAACAAAATCTATTCGCAGCGCTATTCTATCTCATCTTGTGGATACAGAACACAAGACTGATTGATGTTAACCATGCTTTCAGGGTAATTTACCGCATACCTACGAACCTCAATTTCGCCTTAAGAGTTCGACTGCTAAATATTCCCGAGGCTGGCCAATGGATCCAGAATAACAAGCCTAATTTGTGCATCCAAAAGAAGTTGGTTGGTTCAGACATTATCCTTACCGCTTGGCTATCCAGGTTTGAATGATCCTGAATTTTAGTTGATATTCTATTTGCTACTACATCTTTGTTATAATAATAATAATAGTAATAATAATAATAATTATTATTATTATTTAAGCATCTTTAATGAACTGTGGTGATTCCATTGTGATCTTACTTTACAAATCGACATTATTTAAAAAGCACTCTTATACTGTTACTGACTACTAATTTAGAATATTCTGTGTATATAAACATGCAGATATATTTGTAGAGCCGGAAGAGGAATTTATCGAAACGAATATTCTTTGCTCGATTATTTCGTGTTTCATAGATGTCTGAATGAATATTTTTGCTATATTGAAATCTATTTCTAGTTAACCGCAGCACTATACAAAGCAGTGTTTTACCGCTATTTCCAATATGCTTGTGACCATCTCAAGTTCTCAGCGTTGTGAAAAAAGGTTCGACGGTTTCAGATAGTTTCAATGGCCTCATTATACAGGCTATTTAGGTCTTTCTAGATAGTTGAACAAACCTTTCTTAATTATAATAACCCTGAGCAGGCTCACACCTTCACACTATAAGGACGTTCTGAAGATCTTGACCTATTCAACTACCACCACTAGTTGAAGCTCAGAAATAATATCTGCTCAAGAATAATGCATTCCGATTCACAAATGGAGGACATTATGATGCCGTCACTTACAGTGGTTATCTGAATGGATGTGTTCCAATCCTTCACAGACATACATACATGACGTCACGATCTCTAAGATTCAAACATGTTCATTCGAGTACCTAAGTATCTGCATGTCTCCACATCCCCAGTACAGTATTCTTCTTTTGGTGAGTCGTTAGAAGTACTCTGCATCAGCGTGGAGCTTCCTTTTGTGAGGATGAAACAATCGTTAGCTTCTTAACACATACAAACTCTTTTTACGAGTTGATCACGGATTGACATCAGCTAGAGAACGATTGAAAACCAGAGAGTAGTGGACAGCTGTGTCATCAAACTAGGATGAGACTTTCGAGTCTGGATAATCTTCACCTCTACATACACTCACTACCCAGTAATTAACCTCATCCATCCATCCTCTCTAGGATTATAATATTATCCTACCTGCGAATGAATCTTCAGAATACATTCATTCGATAAAACAAACATATTATCTATCTTCAATCTGATTTCACCCACCCTACTCATCACCGGTTGGTTGCGTAAAACTTCGTGATATGTACAGCGGCGGAAAAAGGGAAACAAACCAGAACTTACAATTTCATCACCTTCCAGTCTTCCTGCCAGATCATTATTGTCATTGACTCTGATACAGTCTGACTTGACGCGTTTTCTGGGATTCCCCGGTATAATCCAGTCTGCGCCGAAATCTTTCGGCTTTCGTCTCCGCTTCCTGTTCTCTTCACTATTTGACAGGCCCACCTATACGGAGAAAAAGCAATCACAATCAAAGAAAGCACGAACACATACATCACACAACTGAATTCACGTGTGAATATAATTATTTAGAGAATGATTATTTTATTATTTTTGTTAGTACTCCGTCTCTAATTACATGTCATCTTTTTAAAATAATTTTATTCTAATTGCCACTTCAGTTTTACTTAGAAGTTATCATTGTGGAAAGCGGTTTGCTTTCTTTAAGAATCTGTTATGTAATAAACCTGTGCATACGCTTATTTCCTACTTATTCGGGATTTTTCCAAAATCATGCATTACGTAATCCATGTGTTGCAAGGATTTCTACATTTAAAAAGTATGCATTAATTTACTTCGTTAATTATCACCCCATTGACACGTTGATACTGCCTAGTGATTGTTAACAAACATACCAGTGCCGCTTGATTGGTAAATTGTTGTGTATTCTAATAAAGATGCTATCTATACATATATTAGAGTACAGCCAGACATCAGTATCTAATTGAACGATAATTATTTCTTTGCTCAATGCTTCTGCTTTCCAAACATAGAATTTGGTAGAGTCCAGTCAGGCTAGTATATGTCATTGATTATCCAAATATACAAGAAGGAAGACAAGTACTATTGTGATAATCACACGGCGATTAACGTGACTAATATGGTGGCATCTAAAGTTCTAGGCTCAATAATAATGCCTCCAATACTAAGTGGTGCTCTGGAGACACAAACACGAGAGAATCAGGGTGGGTTTAGACCAGGAAGAGGGTGTATTGATCAGATCTTCACCCTCAGACAGATTCTGGAACAGAACATAGGCATACTTACTGTCGGCGTCCAACAGTGGGCATATTTCTTGACCTGAAATAAGCATTCGAATCCGTTGACCAAGATGTACCATGCCGATGTTTGGCTGTGAAGGAAATACTGAGAAAATACGCCGCACTGATCTAGGCACTCATTCTACTCGAATTCATGCAGTCAGCCAGGTAACAGCCTATGGAGATTTGTAATCTGATAACTGTGGTGACAACCACTGATGTCACCAACCATCAGGGATGCCAACTTCTGTTTAATTCTACATCATACAGGTACTAATGGAATTAACCCTAACTGACTTCAGAGACTCAGACATTGACTTGTTATCAGAGGATAATATCACCGACTCAGAATATGCAGATGACGAAGTCCTGCTCCTAGGTGAGGGCGATGACAAAATACAACAGAGTCTTCTGAACACCTTGAGGTACAATCTACGAATGTTTGCCATGCGATTCGCTCCCGCTGTCAAATGTAAGATGATGTTACAGGACTGGACTACACTGACTCCTACCTTAAAGATAGGGAGTGAAGTGGTTGGTGGAGTGTGTTGACCACTTCACTTATTTGGGAATTTGCGTCAGCCAACGCCAGCGGGTTGATCGCTGACGAAATCTCAGTACGGATACAAAAGGCTCGTTCGACACATGGAACTTTCCGCCGTCTCCGGAGTAGACGTGATATCCGGCTGACTGGCTGTCGACCAAAGGGCGGGCGTACTGCTCAGCAGTCCACTCCACCCTCCTTTATGACTGGCTGGCTCTGAGACATGGCCATTGAAAGTGGAAGACATGGACAGGTTGATTAGCTCTGTCTTTGATCATAGGTGTCTGAGTTCTGTCTCCCATGTTAAGTGGCATAACAACGTGAGCAATATTGAGGTTAGCCGTTGATTATTAATTAGGTGAGGAGGGGAAATCAATCGACGAGGTGGTGGCGTTACGTCAATTGATGTGGTTAGGACATGTGTTGCGCATGCATCCCCAACCATCGCCTTTCACGACCAACAATGTTAGCAGACTGACACAGGATCAGGTTGGAAAACCTCTTAGTCGTGGCATAACCAAAACGTGGCTTCATCAGTCAATGAAATCCACAACAGTTAGTTTAAGCCAGCCAGCCAGTCACGTAGGAAGGTGTAGACTTCCTGACTGGTTTTAGTTCTCGGGATGGTAAAAACCAATGTCTGGAGACAATTGGTGATATGGTCAAACATCGTTTTCAATGACGCAGATGCATTTACTCCTTGTGACTTATAATATTCAACAAAACTATAAGGTTCCTCGATATTACTATTCTTTTCTGCCTCATATCTCTGTTTACTGTCTCTGTTTTTGCACTCGTTTTTACTGTCTTCTCTTGCTTTGTGTAGTGAATGTAGTGTGGCGACTCAAACTGCTGCACGTCGGTGCAAAGTTTTATTTATTTATTTATTTAAACGCAGAAAAACTTGGTACAATATGGCACCAAGAAAGATGCGCCACACAATATTGTGTGAGGGCTGAGATACTGCCCGGGCGCCCAGACCGTAGCAGGTGGTTTTCCTAAGGGACCACCCCCGAGCCTTTGACTTGGAGTCTAATCCGTAAGGCAGCGGAGCAGCGTCAGGAGCTGCGTTCCCATGGTTGCCGGTGACCCATGTGGGTTCATACGCCATTTGATCCGGTTGAATTCTGGAGCCCATGTACCCCATGGTAACTGCTTTTGGTCTAACCGCTATCCAAACAACCTTCCTGACATGGTAGGACCTGCAGGGACATGAGTCGCAGCCAGTTTAGCTTTTTGGGTCACTGCGGTATTCAAGCTCCCGGACCACCACGGCAAGGTAGCAGTTATCGGTCGGTGCAAAGTTCTACGTTGAAACCAGTCAGTCTATATTTCGGCATACATACACACACACACACAATCGTGCCTATCCAGGTCAAGCCGTCTTCCATTCTGGACCAA